CCTCATTTCCTCGTTAAATTTCTTGATGAATGCCTCGACTCTACGGTTCAACTCATCTTCACTTGGCGATGGCTCTCTTGAAATCTCTCAGTTCTCAAAGACAGACTCAATGAAGATTCTAATAGGGACTCGTGGTTCATACGATTCTTGAAGGTCTTCGATTTTGGTACATGATCTGGTCGACTTGTGGTCACATGATGTTCATGGTGTTGCGGCGTATCTGACTTCTTTGAGAGTGGTATTTGATGTCCTTTTGTTATCATATTCCACGTACTTTCTAATGTCTCGTGCCTTTTTGACCTTGCCACTCGCCGTAGCCTTGTATCTGAAAATTACAATTGATCATTTTATCCTTTTGAGAAATCATATTTATTTTCAAAAATTCCATTTTATGGAAAGAGTGAATTGAGAAAATGAATGAATATGCATATAAAAAAAAATAATGATTTAGCCATAAACATAATTAGAGTCAAATAATTGTGGACTCGGCGTAAATTAGGAGCAATTTGAAGGCCGACGTCCAATTTCTAAACGTATTATTTTTTAATAAAAACGACAGCGTAAAACTTTTGTGTGCTTTGAATATCTTAGAAGCGTACAGATCCTCGTGAGATTAGTCGAGGTGTGTGTAAGGTAGTCCGGGACATCCACGGTTATCAAAAAAAAAAAAAAATTATGAGTCTAATTAAATTAATAAGTACCTTTAGAATTCCGGTGACGAAATGGCGAAGGAACCAAAGGTTTCTCCCTTACCGGGAGTAGAAACTCCGATTGAACATCTGGAGAAATAATCGCATGCGGCGGAATGTACATAGAACTGGAGATAACGAACTTATCTTCACAGCCAATTTCTGCATCAGCGTCAATTTCTTCTCCTGTTGGATCGATATCGACCTTTGCACCATTTACCAGCACCGCCTTCACCTCCACAGCACTATTCTCACTCTCATACTCCAGAAGTGAGGATTCATCAGCAGCGCTAATCTCTGGCTGACCTGGAAAGGAGGCAAAATCCGACGACGGAGGTATTTTGATTGAATATAACCGCTCAGATGGAATGGACGGTGAGGATGCAGCCTGGTGAAAGCGTGAGGAGGCAGCAATGGTGATGATGATGCCATTAACAATAAGATATAAATATGGAGGTCTCATCCATGACAGGAATACAGACCAAATCACAGGTACTTGATTAAATAACGGAGCGGAGAATTTGATTCCCATGGCGAAGGAAACAACTCCAAATGAAGTTAGAATCACTTTCATGGATAAAATCCGCATACTTGTTGATCTCATTTGATTAATTCTACGGTTCAGGAGGGAGATATTGGAGTTGTGTTTGATTTGAAGCTTCTCTGTGTACGCTTGCCGGTGCGAAGGGTGCATATATATATATATATGGAAGAATCGGAAGGTTCGATGTGGTCTTACGTGAAATCTTGGCCGTTGAATTGGTCTTGTGACTGAAGAGTGAGGGACTGCACTTCGGTGTTGTGGTCTATATGGATTGGCTCATGTGAGTTGAAAAATAGTTTCTAAAATATCAAAATTAGGTTGAGGACCGACTTTTATGATTGTGAAATCTGACAATTTTCTATTTTCTTGACTTGACAAGTTTTTTTTTTCATTATTTAATTAGTAAATTTTCAAAAATAAATCAAATAAATTGTTCTCACATTGAATAAATACTCACTCTCTCTTCGCTAATATTTTATTATATTAATGTGTGATTAAAAATAAATAGGAGAAATTAAAAAAATTATTTTAAAGAGAGTAAAACTGGGGCTAACTTAGATTTTAGGTCCCACTAACAATCCCTATATGTTACAATGGGAGCGGGGTCCAATATTTTGAAGTCAATGCTAGGCAATATCCTCTAAATTTTGATTTATTTCCCCTGATTTTCTTGGGAGTTTCATTTAATTAGCCAAGTCAAATCAACTTTTTGTTTAAAAAGTCTAACTTTTTTTTTGTCTAGAAGGCCTAAAGATACATAAAATGAGAAATACAATTTGTAAATGACTAAAATATCCTTATATAGAAAAAGAAATTGTTACCCTAAATCCTCTTTCAATTTCCATTTAGCCATAATACAATTTTGGCTTCCATTTCTTCTTCATCACGTGAGTTCGGGTCTACAGGTATGCCTCT